CCGGCAAGTCGATGTCGCGGCCTACCCGTTGGGTGACCCCTAAGCCGTAGATGGGCAGCCATCCACGGGGGAGCGGCAGACAGGCAGACATGTGGGGCCTGCTGTGCTACAGGYTGGAGGGGACTGYTGGGCACAACTCTTCACAAACAGGAGTTGCTCCTTTTGGAGCTSGCCTTTTCATAAGGCATCMKAGCGCGGCCGATCTCGGTCGATCGATCATGAGATCTTGCGGCTGAGATCAGCCGCGCGGAGCTAGTATGACCCCTGTGCAAGGATGACWCGCACAAATCGAGAACTGGTTCGAGTMTTTTTTTWATCCCAACTGGGATTGAACTTGGATCTGATCCASCGTCCCAGCTCAGTTKGTAAGGCACGCAAGTAGCATTCAGGAGGTTCTGGGTTCAATCCCCATTGGCCTCATRTACCTTCCTGAGCAAGCTTGGTGCCCGCCACTTAGAGATATGCCGTTGGCCCCCCCGAGTGGCATTGAGYAGAGACTGCTGATGTTCATAGGGGGAGGGGACCGGAGGGGAGACACAGTGACTGGCCCAGCCAATAGGCTTGGTCCTGATGCTACAAGCTGACCCCTGGCTGGTATCGCGCACCTGCTGTAGCAGGTATCGCACCTGCTGGTGGGTGCAGCTCCCGCATGTTCCCTCGTTGGAGGCTTGGGCACGGATGTGGCTGCTATAGAGGTTCCCCGTAATACAAAAAAAAAAAAAAAAAAAAAAAAAAAAAAAAAAAAAGTAACAGGGGCTTGCAGTTCCTGAAAAGGGGAAAAACGACCATTTTAAGGGTGTCAGCAGCATTTCAGGTAAGTTTTTTCTTTTTTTTGTCTTTTTTTCGCTTTGTTTGGGATTTGACTTTTTGTTTCTGCTATCGTCCAGCAGTCTTTTGTTGATAAACAGACTGCTGGGCCGAGGTCCCACGAGCAAAATGGATAGGACCGAGCCCCTGAATTTGAATGTGTTTTAAGCACAGATGTAGAAAAACAGTTCAATCTCGATCTTCTGCATATCTCCAGAAATTCGTCCAGATTCAGGCATTCAATGTGATCGTCTTGCTAGTGGGGTCATGCCCCTGATGAGAAGTGACAGTTGACAAAGCCAACGTAAAAAAAAATAAAAAAATTAAAAAAAACAAAAAAACAAAAAAAAACAAACGAAATCGCCAGATGGCGGATGTCGAAGTGAAAGGGCGTCTGCCCAGATGAGAAAGGTGCAGCCCGTTTTCATAGGGCAGCAGGGCTGTAGTTCCATTAGCAAAGAGTATAAGATTGAATGACTGAGTTTGGACGTGTTTGAGGGCAAGAGCAGGGAATCGAGACAGAACTGATTTTCTGTATTTCTGCATGAAAGATAGCCAGATTCATGTTTTTTATCCTATCCCCTTTGCTAGTGTGACCACGGCCTAGGTAAGTTGCTGTTTTTTCTTTTTAGTTTTTAGATTTGTTTCCTTAGATTTTTTTTTTTTATTCTTTTGGAAGTTTTCTTTTTAGATTCCCACCCCCCTCCTCTACTGTACCTCCCATTGTGGCTGCGCCCGTCCGTTTTGACAGGCAGCAGCCACTCGAGGTGGCACCCAACATGGCACCTAAACCGAGCCAGGTTCGGGCACTTTGTGGGGAGAAGACCCTGTTGAGCTTGGCACCAGTGAAGTGACCCATGGGAGGGGTGACTTCTCGTTTTCAAGAGAAACGAGCTGCCCTGATTCAGAGAAACAAAAAGAAAAATACAAAAAAAAAAGAAAAAAAAAAGAAGAGGGGAAGAAGTTGGGAAAAAAAAAAAAAAACGGTCGTGGATCTGGCCGCGGCCTCAGTCCAGATGCAAGTTTAGAAGCATCTGGACTATGGATAGACAGCAGGCTGTTGGTTTCAACAGCCTGCTCAAAATTGGCTGAGTACAACCATTTTCGGGCCGCATCGAGCCGCGGGTAAAGGCCAGATGCATCCCCCGTGGCCTGAACTTGGTTCTCCTAGGGGAACATCAAGTTTCCTGGCCCTCGATCGAGATTCTGATAAAGGGCCAGGCTCTATTCCGGGATTTGGTTGGGGGCAAAGTAGCTGCCCTCAGCCTTCAGCCAGCTATAAAAGCTAGCCTGCCACCCAGCAGCCTCACACTTGTGGCAATGCTGCTGGGGCATTCTACTTAAGTAGATGCTGGCTGGCTGGCTGCTGGWGTGATGAGGCGAAGTGCTGGAGGTCTGCAGAAGCACTTGGAGGAAGGAGGAGGCAGCCATAGCTAGAGGCTGGGAGTTTCTTGCCCCACCTCTTGTGCTGTGCTGCAGGCTGTGGGGGAGTCATAGCCGGGAGGCTGCCGCTGGATTGGGTGGTGCGGCGGAAGCACTGCCGAAATTGTGCGACGGCAGCGCTGGTTCTCCTGGTGGGACGGCGGAAGCGCTTCCTAATTTTTGGGGCGGCAACGCTAGTCTTCTTGGCGATGCGGCGGAAGCGCTGCCGAAATTGTGCGGTGGCAGCGCTGGTTTTCCTGGTGGGACGGCGGAAGCGCTGCCGAATTCTTGGGACGGCAGCGCTAGTCTTCTTGGCGATACGGCGGAAGCGCTGCCGAAATTGTGCGGCAGCAGCGCGGATTCTCTTAGCGGTGCGGCGAGGGCGCTACCAGATTTTGTGGCAACAGTATTTTGCACAAGACTGCGAAAAGGGGGGTTGGACGTTGCCGCAGGGACGGTACCGCCGAGGTGGAAGTGCGCCTTGGGATAGGAAGAGTGTGGTGATCGTTTTGTTGAGGACGTTGCGGCATGTGGCACTTGAGGGAATGGTCAAGGYYATAGTTATGTTTTTTGCGGCACGCTGAACGAGCGGGGACTGGATCCAGGACCACAAGGTACTGCGGCAGGCAGGTGATAACCTGACTTGGTACTTGATGGGTKKAGTTGGCRYTGTTCTTAGTGAGAGTTGTGACATTGAGRCTGTGGGATTTAAGAGTGGGATACTCTCCTCATCGGCGAGCCCACTTTTGTGTTGGTGAGCAGCGCCTAAGTCAGTGTTGGTGCCTGAAGGAAGGTGCGGCTCRTCTTTGTGAGCARCATAACTTTTCTTGARAAAATAYTTGGCTTTCTTGAGTGAGYCTTCATAAAATTCACTCAAGGTCAGTGTGACTCAKCTCCTCTGCACACCCKCGTGAACCCACACATTGCATGACCTTGCTTTGAATTAATGGGAAAAGGTAGAGCAAGAGTGTGACGTCATRCGTGTGAAGAAARGGCTGACTTGKTTGGGGGATGGATGAAYCTCTRGATYGTTTCTTTTCCYGATTGTGCAGGTAGGTTGGGAGGCGCATGTGAGAAAGAATCAACATTGCTTGCTCAMGATAATAATGGGGATGCTTACCTTTCTCCCACGCGACYTGAATGCATGTGAAAGAAAAGAGGAAAACCAAAAATAATAATAATAAAAGAGTGAACAGGCGGGTGCCRAAAGAACGAAGGCYGTGGGAAAATTAAAAGAAGAGAAGACAAGGGAACACCTTAGTATCTTCCCAAGGACTTCCCCRTTCTATCCCGAACGACCATTATYCTTCTATGCCCGTCCAAMATATCTTACTTYTTTCTCTTCTCAATTCGTCTAAGTCGATCCTTAGCCGGGAAGRCATAGAGTGGTCGTCTGCACCTAGGGTCTAGGCTTCTTCTCTCTAGGAGGCATCTGAGGCGGGGGTTCGTTGCCTTAGGGGCCGGCCCTGTTATCGACTCGGAGCGGACCGCTTTGGCGGGGGGATRCCATGCTCTTGTGGTGGAGCCAGCCCAACCTCTGAGTCCTGAACCATGTGTTCGGGCGAGGGGGAGGGGTATTCCAAACCACTTCCTAGAGAGTAGGGTGTCTTGWAGCTAGGGGCAGTCGTCTCCTCGTGCTTTCAGAGAAAGGGGAGGCTGAATCTARTACCCGGMTGGGTGGCCGCTTTATGAGCCACCTACGTGKRGGAGGGCTGGCGCCACAAGAAGCCCAGCCCGTGATTCAACTAGTGTTMAAAGAAGTGCRAATAGGCASTACTTTCGCAGACGGACCGTGACACAAGAATCACGGCCCGAAAAGGGGAGTAAAGATTGAACATGGAAATGAGTATATCTGAGTTATTTTGACAAAGTTACCRCTTCGTCGTCTAGATGCTTGCKGAGACAGTGATTCTCCGATTGTTCAGCACACGCGAGGCGGCGGCTAATTGGTTAKCRGTGCCRACACGATCCCGCGCCRGCATRACACGGAAAGGAAGGCTGGTGTACAACCCTCTACAGGTTTACTCGGAACGGGACGTGCCACGATTCTGGRAAGGGAGCGCGAGGAAACCACCGCSGAGTTATATTTTCTTSGTCGAGTCAGGCCAACATATTGTACGATATGACTTTGCGCCTCCTACTCCATCACGGGATTACGGAGACATGAACCTAGTGGTGGTTCACGAGGACTGTCCGGGAGTAGACACCATTCCTGAGGTTAGGGGGATGTTCCTCCATATTGTACTCCATTTGAACGATCTGCAAGGACCATTCAGCCTTCTTCATCATGTGAAAAGGGTCCGGGCGAATAGATTTAATACCGTTCGCTCGGAACGTTTTGATGTCACCGCATTTTATGACGAGGCTTGTGAAATCTGCGAGTGCCTCTTCTAACAGGCGGCTCTTTCGGTGTGCAGATGTCCGGCGGACRGCGAGATCTTACTCAGGCCAGGTATCTACTGATYCGCGACACTATGGACGAGGAGGTAATCCGGCGCGCGGAGCGATCACTACTGGTTTGAAATGGAGCACCCACACGTTGGATTGGCTTTATCGGCCTGCTCAGTGATGGGCAGGGATTTTTTCCCAACTCGCGCGCATATGTTCGTGCCAATGTGGCCCGACTTCCGGGAGAAGTTTATGGATATACCTTGTACTTCCATCGCGCGAGCAACCTCCGATGCCTCTCTCGGGTC